TGTGTGTGTGTGTGTGTGTGTGTGTGTGTGTGTGTGTGTGTGTGTGTGTGTGTGTGTGTGTGTGTGTGTGAAAGAGAGAGAGAGAGAGCAGTAGAGCAGTTATCCTCTTTATTTCCTCAGTACCAGCTTTGTGGTTTCTATGAGGAACAGATGTTCACAACTTGATACAGCGCCTCATCCCCCTCTACTCACTATCTCCAGTGCCAGCACCACCAACTGTCTGCTTCCACACAAACACACGCACACACATATTGTCTCTTGGGAAACACAGACATACTTAGCACTGACTTTTTCATGCGAACGTATGGGACGCGTTCACCTGCCTGCAGACATTTTACTGGCTGTTGTCCGTCCCCCCTCGCCTCGCTCAGGCTGCATATCCTGCTCTTGAGTCAACACTTGATTTGATCAGATGTCATTTCCTCTTTTGTAAGTTTGCACTTCTCTTGGTCAGATATGACCACGTGTACACATAGCCTAGCACTCTGGTTAAAGAAAACTTCATGCCAGCGTGTAAGTCCTCTGAAGCCATATTTGGTTGTAACACTATGAATGAAACACATCCCTGCGATACTCGTGCCAAATTTCACCATCTGAAATGCAGAATTTAACCAAAGCACATAGAGTGGGTAATTAATCAGCTTCATTGCATATGCTGGAGCATCTACAGTAATGCCGTAATAGATAGTACTCTTATTAGTTGAAGATGACAATACTGGAAATGAAGTACTTGGTCCAAGAGCATGGATTGAATTTACGATTCCCATCATGCCTGGATGATTCAAACAGGCGATACTTTCCTGCTTGATTGCAAACAAAATGTCAGGGGGTCTATGGGTGCAATTTGTAAAAGCAGCATTCTGCCGTGTGTGCTTGAGTGGGTGGGTCAATGATCCGTTACACCACGCCATATTACAGGAAGACTCTCTCTTTCATAATATGATGGAGCAGCTGGAGGACCTGCACACATTTAAGATGCTGGAATACAAAGTGAGAGATAAACATCCTGTTAAGTGCTTTATCAAAGAAAATAGAGTTTAAAGTACACGAGTCATATTCACAAACGATGCATGTGACTCAGAGGAGAGGAGGCTCGGTATGATTCTAATCGTTTCTATCAAACAGCATAACTCGGTGCAGTTAA